AGCCCAGCCCAGCCCAGCTCCAGGCAGTAGATTGCAGGGCCTGTCCCCACCACCAGGCCTCCACTGTTTCCCCTTATAGGCCATCCCAGTCATCAATCGGGCCCAAGTCATCCATGACGCCTTCAACCTGGCCAGGTGAGTTCTCACCTCCCTCCCCTATTGTTATGTTGATGGGGTATGGGCAGTGCAGCTGGTTCCTCAGTTCATCCCCCACCCTCCCACACACCACGCCTGCAGTCTTTATTGGCCCTGAGACCAGAAGTAAGATCATCCCCAGTTAACAGATGAGAAGACTGAGATTCGGAGTATCTTGCCTGAGCTCACACAGTAGCACATGACCACCAACCAGGCACAAGACTGTCCAACTCCCAGACCTCACTAGGCCCCACTGCACCAAGCTTTTTGCCTGAAGGTTGTCCTGTTCAGTACTGGGAGAATCTGGAATGGCGGGTTAGGGGAGCTGGAGCATGGATTAACATATTTTTATTAAGCATCTACTTTGTTCCCAGCGAACTGTTCAGTTCTGACATGACTGCTGTCCCCCATAGACCTGAAGCAATGTTCACAGGCAGGGGAAGAGGAATAGGAAGGCCCAGAGGGCAGAGCAAGCCAGGGAAAGGGAGGGCCGAGTAAAGAGCACAGGCCTTTCACTTTTTAAATCTCAGCTCTCTTATGGGCTGTGTGGCCCCAGACCAGCGGTGTTCATCCTGCCTCATGCTGCAACCCTTTCATACAGTTCCTCATGTGGTGGGGACCCCCAGCCATAAAATTATTTTCGTTGCTACTTCATAACTGTAAATTTGCTACTGTTATGAATCGTCATGTAAATATCTGATATGCAGGATATATTTTCATTGTTACAAATGGAACATCATTAAAGCATAGTGATTAATCACCAAAATAACATGTAATTCTATATTGTGAAATATTGATTTCTAATGACAAGTAAATGAACTTTTGTCTTGAAGCATGGTGTAGCATGGGTAAGAGTCTTCGCGTCGGGTACTCGTAGGTGGGCATATCTGTTTCCCCATGGTCTTAGGCAACCACTGTGAAAGGGTCTTTCAATGCCCCCAAAGGGGTCGTGACCCACAGGTTGAAAACCGCTGCCTTAGACAATTCACCGTACCTCTCAGCACTTCAGGTTCCTCACCTGTAAAATGGGACACCATCCATCCTCCATGTCCTTTATTCCATCCTGGTGGATGCTGGAGCTGGGTCATGACCTGGGGCTCTGGGACCCCCAGAGGCTCCAGGGTGGACCTGGCAGAGTGTGAGTGGGCAGGTGGATGTGCTAACTTGGGCCCTCTCTGTTCCCAGCGCCCAAATAGTCTCGGTCACTCTGGCTCTGAACAACACCCTCTTCTTGGAGCAAGAGACGGAGTACATGCCCTGGCAGGCCGCCCTGAGCAGCCTGAGCTACTTTAAGCTCATGTTTGACCGCTCCGAAGTCTACGGCCCCATGAAGGTAGGAGGAAGGGGCTGGGCTGGGAGGGCTCAGAGACCAGTTTCCCCGAGAGTCTAAAGGTGCACACTTGGGAAGGGAGTGGAAACCATCCCTGGAAGGCAAATGCAAATTCAAGTCTTCCATAAGGACCGGCCTGGGAACTGGATGAGAGGACAAGACTGGTTCAGGGTGAAGGGAGCAGGTACTATGGTAAGGAGGTTGGATGGGGCACTGAGGCTGCTAGCAAAGTTTGCAGATTGGATATGTGGGAAATGAGCACATTCAGAAGGCATAGAAAAGGCCCCTATGCTGAAGGATTGGCCTCACTGGCTTCTGGAGTGCTCTTTAACGCCTGTGACCTGAGCAAACCCACACCCACGTAGCCTGCCCCCACCCCCACCCCACCCCGCTGTGAGGGACAGGCTGCTCTTAAAGTGTTGGGTGCTGAGCCCTGGGGGAACCTGTGGTGAGAGTTACGGTGAGGAACTCAAGGGTCACACGTTCTTCATTCCACCTCCCTTTGGGGGTGTTAGAAATGGTTGCCTCTGTGGGGCTGGAGGTTCCCAAGAGGAAACTCAGCTTGCTCAGGATGGCACAAGAGCCATGTGGTGTATAAAAAAACAAGACCAAGTGCATGTTTCTATCTCATAACTATCCTATATAGGGTTTCTGAGACTGTAAATATTTACCAGTTCAGGATTTGAACTACTGACTTTGTGGTTTATAATTGACAAAAAAACAAACACACACACATTAAAAAAAAATTTTTGGTGGGGGGGACTCACAAAAATGCTAAATGTCCAACAGTAGAGGAGTGGTTATGTACCTCGTAAGCTGTAGATTATTCATTTAATGGAATATTATGTCGCTATAGATCATACTTGATGAGGTTTTTATGTCTGCAACTTTTATTCTTCTTAAAAGTAATTTTATTTTTTGTTAAATATATACATCAATTCAACAATTTCTGCAGGTACCATTCAGCGACTTGATTACACCCTTCAAGGCTTGCAACCATTCTTGCTGTCTTTGCCCAAATTAAGTTTCTAATCTGTCCTTTGAAATTGCTGTGGTTAATTTGATCCCATGGAGAAGGGTTCTAAAAAGTTGGTGGGGAAGTAGAATCAAAAGATATCAAAAATGCCCGCACCCCCGGATTTTTTTAAGCCCCCTTATAATTCTTAAGAGTACAATGCTCAAGACACATTCTTTACTAATTAAGCTAAACTAATGCTTGGCCTTCATGGAGCTGTCTGGTAAATGTTGGTCTACTAACCAAAAAGTCAGTGGTTTGAACCTACTAACAGCCCCTCTGGAGAAAGATAAGCCTTTGTGCTCCCATAAAGATTGACAGCCGTGGAAACACTCCATACCTTCACTATGAGTAAGAGTTGACTCCCTGACCGTGGGTTTGGGGCATTGCTTGATTTAAAAATGCTTTCAGAGACTATTTCTGGTGTGAGGTTTAAAGATAATCTCAGAGCAGTAATTTTGGAGCCAAAAGTCTGAATTCCACGAGAATGCTGCTCCACATTTCCCACATTTTGGTCAGAATTCTTCTACAAAATCTTTGATGAAAATGCTTGGCAGTGGTAGCTGGTTACCATCCAGTTCTTCTGGTCTCGCGGCAAAGGAGGCGGTGTTCAGTACTTCCCTTGTTGCGACTACGTTTTCTCTGCAGAGCCGCATAGAGTACTGTGTTGGTGTGTCCTTTTGTATATATCTGGACAAACAATATCAGACATAGACTGGTTTTGCTCTCCCTGGGAGGCGTCCTTCCTGGAGCTCTCTGTCTTGTCTGATCCCTTCTGATCCTGCTGCTTGGCCGCTGCAGTTGCCGGCCCCTCTCCAATGTTGTATCGTGTTTCATGATAATGATCATGTTGTATCATTGTCCGTCCTGCTTTCTGGGAGATGCTTTCGAGTCACACTTCATTTCTTTCTTCCCTAAGGTTGCTTCCTGGAACATTCTTCAGTTTCCAAGTGTGCTTTCTGGTTTCAGTATCCCATGCAACATTTTTTCTGCCCTCTTTTTTTTTTTTTTTTTTTGCTCTCAGCTTTTACCAAGTTTTCTTTTTCTCCCATTGACTTCTTTCCTCTATTTTCTGTTTTTTTTTGTTCTCCTTTTTCACGTTTGAGTTTGAATTTGAGGGTGAGTGGTAAAAAGCGATTGAAAATCCCATGGAGGGGTATCAGGAGTCAAAGAACAAAAAATCCTATCATTGTGAATGAGGGGAAGTGTGGAGTGGGGACCCA